CAACCAGGAATCGAACTCCCCACACTTGATTCCAGAGCCCCCCAATGTGATTGTTCCGCCAACTTGGATGTGCCCTGGGGGGCTAAACTGTGTAGGGTAAACTTTTTAAAGTGACTGGTCCCACCGCACTGCGGCCCCATACTCCAGAAACCCCACCTCCGGCCTAGCCCTACGGGTTAGTATACACCGCTTGACCCTACACGTATGGAGGGATTTTTTTGGAGAGGCACAGTACCACCATACTGGTAAGAGGACTCGAACACGGAACCTCAGCCAGCAAATGCCAATGTCCTTACCACTAGAGCAAATAGACATCGGCCAATCCAATCCAATCCAATCCAATCCTTGGTTTTACTTCTTAGGGATCAGATGAAGGGACCAACCAACCAAGAAAATGTGTTAGTGGGCCACATCTTAAAGTAAGGTGATTGGGCCCCATTAAAGGACGCCAGTTGCTGGATAGCATCATTTTATGTCTATTTGCTCACCTTTTGTTCGGTCAATCAATTATCACACAATGTACGCACTATTTTTATATTCACAACTTTGTCCAAATTTTCTGTCGCCTAATGAAAGAAAAGTTATTAATATATCATATTTTGAACTTGTTAAGTGTGTATCAAAATTTATATAAAGAGAATTCTATAATATCACATGACACTTTATCATTTATCATTTTGAAGCATAGTTAATTTTTTTATCCAATCTTTTTTCATCTATATCATTTTCGATAACAGCTTATGTATCATATTTATGTACAAATAGCAAAAATCATTTTAATTACATTAAAAATCATTAAATTTATTTATTGCCGCACTTATATTCTTAAACTTTTCTTCATGATATTTTATTTTTAACTCTTGATTGATCGGAAAATTTTGTCCTTATTGTTTTAATCCAAAAATATTGTTAACGTTTTTTTTTTTTTAAAAAAGGGTCAAAATTTTAATTTATTTTTTCATTATTGTTTGTTTTGTTTATTTGTCAAATGAGCCTTTTTACTCTATTTCAAAGAAAATTTTGGAGAGAAACCATAATGAGGAACAATTTATGTTAATTTAAAAATAAGAATGCAATGAAAAAAACAAAGACTTAATTGCCCCTGTTTGATTCCTATTTTTGGGATAAAATGAATTATGGAATAGTAGCACACCATCATTGCAGTTTGCTTGTCACTACCCTGACAAAGCAGTAGACTTCGGCGTGCATAAAAGACTTGAAAGGCTAACAGAAGAGGAGACAAAAGTTTGATGGCTTTTAACTAATTTGTGCTATATCAAAATCATCTGGTAGTCGAAAAGTGTCAGCTGCACCTATCTTCTTCCTTTCTTCTGAATCATCTTGGAATTCTTCTTCGTTACTGTCACTTTCGTCTTCTTCGCACCTGTATGGTGAATCAGGTGCATTGATGCTTTTGGATTGGCAATGTACGTTGGCTAGCACGCTTACTTGGCCGAAATGCGATATTTCAACGACTACAGTGTCATCGTCTGTGGGCAAGGGTTGTTTCCATGGTTCACCGTCGATCCTCATGAACGTGTGCTCAGCAGCACCCTTGTGGAACTCGAAACGGATTCTGTTCGCCTAAAGGAGCCGAAAATCGAGTAGAAGAATTTAATTGACAAAGGCATAGTATTTACAAAAAATATGTAAAGGAAAAGCATTCAAGAGATGAATCCCACTTTAGTAGGAAAGAAAATTGAACCATGCACTGCATTTGAGGACTGGTGCGATAACTATCACCAGAAAACCATGCTCCAAGAGTATATTGGAACCAACTCAATATAATAGGATTAGGAGAGAGAACTTTGGGATTCAAATATAATAATTACCTGTGCGAGGCGAGTCCCGTGCCCATTTGGAGTAAGCAAGACAAGACCGTGCCATGCATCTCGAAAACCAACTACCTCAAGAAAACCATCATCGACATATGGCGGAGTCAAGTCTCTCTGTTGCAAGCATAAGAACGTATATCAATTGTTTTTAACAGAAGACGAAGAATGTAATGCGAGCTTAATTGTTATACCGTAAAAAACTAAAAAAGTGCTAACCGAGTGTAGCTTCTTCTTATTAGGACTTCCCCATGGATTAAGACCCCCCGAAAAACTAGGCAAGTTGAGGCAGACAATGGACCTAATGCTGCATAAACAATTCAACTTCCGTAACGAGATCACGGGAAGAATTTTCAAAAAGAAATGTCTTGTAAAACTACAGATGCTACCTGCGTGGTATGTGGAGGTCTATCCACTGACCTGGCTTTTTCATGATTTTGACTTTTGCCAACTGAGCTATGTTTCTGTTAAATACCACACCCATTATTAAGCTGACAAGTCAAACGCCTCTAAATTATGCCAAAATAGAACCATCTTCTATACAAAAATAGCACATAATATTTTTGATTCGGTTAGAAAACTAAGTACTAACAACAAATGAAAGACATCATAATTTTTTTCCACCCTTCTGATATATCTAAAAATTGATAAAATAGGGGGAACCAACATGAAATCTTTCTATCCAGAACCAAGGGGCTAGCTTAGATGCCCAAAGATGTATTCACGTCCATTAGAGCCAATAATTTTGAGTTACATTCCAACTTATATTCTTGTCACTGTTGACTCTATCATCAACTTTGGTAGGGAGATTCCCCCTTCACAAATATAATCCTATCAAACTGGAACAGATAATTTACGATCCTATATATGTAAAATTTTAGCTAGAGCACCTTCTACTTGTGCAAACTTGAAATGAAGAGATCTTTCCCTTCGCAAAGGCACTGATTTATTACTAGAAGATTGGCCATGCAAGGACAGCAACCAAGAGATGTGTTGTGCTGAATTCTGTTCTGTTTCAGTGTTTTCATCATAATCAGTTTAAGCTGTGTCTCTTTTTGATAATTTGTTATGTCTTAAGCAGGATAATTTCTTTCACACTATTAGGTTTGTCTTTTTATTTGTCTGGTATATAGACCAGAAAACGTGACACTCAGTTTCACGTTTCAGTTTTTTGATAATATTATTACAGAATATCTATTGGCTGCTACCAGTTCTTTGTTCAAAGTTCTCGAATCGTATTGCAATCTATACTATTTTCTGAATGAAAAAACTCTTATGAAAGTGTGCGTAAGGATTATTCCACAAGCAAATCCAGTCAAGTAAAGATACAATGTTTAAGAATAATAAGAACGACAAAACCTACAAGTGAACATGGTCAAATGATTCCAGAGACAAACTAACCTTGAAGATGGATGCACGAGAGAAGTACAAAACCAACCTTGCGTACAACCCAGCTTTGCATATGTACTCTAGTCAAATCAAGAAGATTATACTCAGCAATAAGCTGGAAATTATTCAGTAAATTATAATGAGACAGGAATCCAAAATGTGCACAGACGACTACTTACTACGGTTTCTTGCTGTACCCAACAACAAATTAGACAAATTCTCATTGTCGAGGTACTTCTAATAAGGAAATAAGTGAACATAGAGGAAACAGGATCATATCAAATGAGGATATGGTAATCATGTTATATCAGGAAAAATGATCATATGCTTCAAAGATGTTCTGCAATAGAAAATGGTGCTGTAGCAATTAGAAGATACCAATGAAACATCCTGCATAATTATGGCCAACTTTAATTAATCTTCTCCAAATTTTATATCCACACAAATGCTACGCAAGGGATTAAATCATTTGCTGAAATCAGCTACTGGTCCAAATATGTTTTTCAATGCTAAATACAACATATTATTTTCCCCTCCTTGGATTCACTATCCACCAAATTTTCAAGCTTTAAAGCATGGAAGTCTAGTTGGAGTATTGGTCTGTCGTGCACCAGACAACTCAGGTCGTCTCCAACATATCATTTGGCTTGTTTTGTTTCTTTAGTTTTTAATTCATGACACCAAAGGGACAAAGTCCGACATATAGTGGACATAGAGAACCCACACTGTGTAAATTTTAGAATGATAAAATTGAGGCAAATTGTAATTGTTAGTCAAAAAAAAAAGAAAAACGAGAAACCCTAAACCTGAAAGAAATTAAATAAATAGTCACCTCTAAAAATTGAAAGACTTTACAACAAAATTCAAAGTCAAAACTGGAAAATGAGTTCTAATTATTTAAAACAGAAGTACAAAACAAGTAATAATATACTCCCTCTTTCCTAAACTTTAATTCTCTCATATTTCTTTTCATTCATCAATGCTTCCTAATTTCAGTTTTTCACCTTTCAAGTTCTAATTCATTATCTTCTATTCCTCTTCATAAATCAATCAGTATAATGCTCATGTCATCCAGTGATTAAAAAAAAATTAAACAGCCCAAATTTCCCCTATATTACACTATTGTAGGGTACTCATGATCAGCACCCATAACACCTCCCAACAATTAATTGAAACATCTTCCTTTATTGTAAAGTCCCATGAACTATTACCCACATAATCCACATAAAAAAAGGAAAAAATTCCATATAGGAGTCCTTATGAGAAATTTTTAGATTTGGCCCTGATAGAAAAATCAGCTAAGAATAGCATGTAGGGCAGTGAAATTAATTTCTGAAACTGCTTCAAACAGAAAGAAACTGGGACATTGTGTTTAAGAAGGAACAACATTTTGGGGCAACTCTGTCACTTGGACAAACTACAGATTTTATTTTTTTCCCCAGATAAACAATATAAGAATTTCAATAATCAAGTTAAGATTGACAACATGTGGCACAGCAAGAAAAAAGTACAGAAATGCACCTGATTAACTAATTGGCTTTTGAATTTGTCGGGATGTAGCTTTCTTTCAGTGTGAAATGCATAAGAAACTTGGGCATCCATTCCTGCTCGGAAATAAACATTTTAAAGCTACCAAAGAAACTCAGTAAGTAAAACAATAAGGTACAAAATTGACAACCATCTAATCCTTTTCATAATTATGAAATTGGTGTTTCTGTCTGTTAATTTTATATCTATCTGAGCAAACAAAACTCAACCATGTTTAGCTCGTCCAAGTTCATTTTCTAAGAATTTTCAACAGGGTGAACGCAGTTTGCATGAACCTTGCCGAAGGCGGGTAACATAAGCATCGTGATCCATATGGAAAAGTCAGCACTGCTCCTGGTACTCTTAACACCACATATTCTCCTTACAATTCTCGATGCAAATAAATACAAGCGACAGTAAAAGGTTTCTATAAAATCCTTGATGGTTTTTACACCAAAATGGTGTGATGATATAAATAAAGTCGAACTGGTTTCATAAGATTTTCAAAAGCTTAGTAATAAAGACTCTGATATAAATAAAAAACAGTAAGGAAATGATAAATTATTAAGGCATCAAGGGATAATAGGGAAATATTACCAATGCTGAAGTAGTTCCAAAATCCCCCGCGGAAAGTAAGGCATCCCTCCTGAAAAATATGACAAGATAATTAACAGAACATATTCTCCATTCTTGTTTGTATTTAATGTTTTATAACAGAGTTCTAAATTTGCTTCCGGGATTATTTTAAGGGTCAGAGAAGGAAAGGCATAAAAGGTGTGCAGATCAACATAATAAGAGGTATGTAATAAGAAGGTTGTTACCTCGTTCAATTCATCTGCTTGGGGGACTCGGCGAAAGGCGTGCAATGAGTGGGGTAGCTCAAGAGGTGCAATAGGATCACATGAACCTTCTTCTTTAGGAGCCCTCATCCGCATAAGAATATGCCAGCTAAGAAACAATAGAGTGGCAATATCATTTACTGACAATATCTCCTGAACTGAATAAACTTAAGGTTTACTAGATTTTATATAACTATAAAAAGCAATAGACAAAGTTATCATGAGAGACCAAAATAAATTCTAGCATCAATTGAATACTAAAATAGATTGCGTTTACTCCAAGATTTAGACCATGCATCACATAGCATGACCATCTATGACTACCAGAGACAGAAGTGCCTGTCTTTTGCTTTGTATTAATTATCATAATTAGAACATTTGTCACTTTGTCCTACTCTAGATTGTACAATTCTATACCAGTATACTCCCTTCTGCATCATCCGTCTCTTGAAGGTAGCTCTAAAACCTTTGGAATAAATGCAAAATTCTTACCCAAAGTGATTAACTTGCTAAAACTTCTCCTTGATATCAAGGTGAAATAATCATGACAATGGTTAACTTCAAATACATGTCTAAGATGCAGTAGTGCAAATTTCTGAATAACAGAAATTTCGGAGAAACTTTTACTGGCTCAGAAGCATGACGACATGCACCGTAATACGCATTCAACACTTCTCAGGTGAAATGAAATAAAACTAAAAAAATAAACAAGAATCAGTATTATAAAAAACACATCTAACTTTGTGAAATGATACACACAATGTGCCTACATCTACTGAGGAAGTATATTTGTAGCAGCAAATTTAGAACATGATTAGTTGCATAGAGTAACATTGTCTACCTGTCAACTTTCATCTCATTTGCATTCTTTACTTGGTTCAAGAATGCCTTCACAGATTGATAATTTGTACCAGGATTTTTCTTCCCCTTGAATATCGCAAAACAAATTTAGTACATTAGTCATTAGAACTGTGTCAGTAACAGATAATTCTAGAATTACACTAAACAGTGCTCGTTGCCAGATGAGAGATATGTCAGCAGATTACATAATGCAGGGTTAAGGCTGAAAGCTGTACTAAGTATCAGAAAAATTATTTTCATATTAAACAAAAGCACTGTGCCCCTTGTACAGCTTTGTGAAAATATACTTTACACAAACGAAGCTAGAGATTAAGACAAAAAGAGGGAGTAGTAATATGTAATTCTTCATAAGATGGTACATGCATTGAAGTAGACTTCCATGCTACACTCAGAAGTAACAGAAATAAATTAGTAAAAAGCATTACAGAATGAGCCTAATAAAACATTAAGGAAACAAAAGTCGCAAATAGAAATTCATGCAACACTTGTTAATGTGATTGTAGTTCCAATGCTAAAGCTAACAGACAATATATGAAAAAATATGATAAGATCAGATTCAAAGGCACTATGATCACTTCACCACGTTCGTCATTGGACTGTAGACATAACTTAGGGGTCAATAAGGGATATAATCTTACCCAACCAAATGAAAATGGAAGATTATTTCCTGTTCCCAGCGGCACCGTTGCAATTGGTGGCGGATGTGCTAGTTTAAGATCAGAAACCACTCCAAGGAGCCAACCAGCTGTTCCGTCCCCACCAGCAACCTGCAAAAGCAATTATATTTGGAAGACATTAAATGAAAGTAAATCATGATTTCAGTTTAAGTATACCAAATGCATCGCCCTTTTTGGTCTGTCTGATACATCATTTACTTAAAACTAACATCATTTCTCCAACTTACAATAATTCTCAAACGCTTCTGAATTTCGGCAGACAACTTATCTCCATTTTGCTTTAGCTTCTCCAAGTTGAAGTAAACTTGGTATAGCACCTTGTCAGGTGCCTTTTCCCCCAAATCAAACACCTGGAAAATCAGGAATCTGGATGTCAAAACTCTTAAGTGGCGCTACCCTTTAAATTTCTTTTGAAGTTCATCCTCCGAAATTGAGCACTAAAAAACTAGAAACAAGAGATGGGACCTGATTTTTGTTGAGAAGATTCCTATATGTTGTTAAGAGTTCACCCCCCAGCTGCCCCCCACTTTTGGAATTGATGAATACTATAACCGGAAACTCAGGAACATGGCATTCTTCTCTTTTTTCTGATTCCGTAAGAAGTATGTTATCAGGAATGCAGTGCTCTTTCAAAATTTCTATAGTTTCTGAATTACTTGTAGCAGGTTCTTGACTGCAAGAGAATATCGAGCAGATAAAAAAATAAAAAAATCGGCTTTATATAATCGAGCAGTCAGTCACAAATCTTATTATGGCAGAAGTTTGTAACAATCTATGCAGAAATGAAGAATTAACCCATAAAAAATCCCCTGAAAATTGTTCTAATTGCATGTCATTATCCTCACAATCCATTTCATCAAAAGACATAGAATACTTACTTTCTATACAGAAAACTTTGAAGCGATTGCTTTAGCTCCTTTCCCATGATTTATAATCCTATCGCCAACCTGCAAGGCAATTGGCGGATATGTTAACCGAAAATATAATTTTTCCACAGCAGAGCCAAACAATCCATATACAGAAAAAAATCAAATCAAATAAGATTAAAATAACATAATTCTAGGAAAAAGGAAGAATGAATGTACCCAACAAAAAGTTCAACTGAGACTCCAAACAGGGAAAAGGATTAAACGGAGTCTCTAAAAGATACCTTGCGTCGGAACAGATTATATGAATTCCTAACAAAAATCACTAATTGAGGTTACAAATGATGAACCGATTAACCCAAGAAATCAAATAGACGACGTCCCTCGGTTTTTTGCTGAAAACGCGGCGTGATCATCCCTCTCTCTATTTATTTCTCTATCTCTTCCTATCAGAGGAAGAGCGCCCTCCTATGCTGACGAATTCGAGTTCCTTCCTTATGAAAAATCAAATTCAGAAATTGAATATTCGTGAATGGGCACATTTTGCATATGTTGCATATTTTCCGGCGGCTGAGGAGAAAACGAGTGAACAGGCAAATAGGAGGGAAGGGCGGGATACGAATTTATTGTGAGTTTCAACATGGCATAATTTTCCATTTCTTGATCTCTGTTTTTTCAATTTTCAGTTAAAAATCAAACGAAGAATTTCGAGATTAGGATGCGCGCGTAATGGGCCCGTTGAGAATTCGGACGTGGGTTTGGCAAACATTTAATCAGTTTGACAAGTCAAAGGAGTAATTGGTAACAAACTTTGCTTATAATTTCTAGACATTTTAATTTTTTATTTGAATTTTATACATTTTTTAAAGTCACCTGCCAAATATTTATTTGATTTTGCTAAATATACATTAGCACGTACATCCGGATGTCCACAATGGACACCCAGCACCTCGCCATTGATCGAGGCATTGGTGGGCCCCGATGCGGCGGGCGCCTCGGCATTGTGTCCATTATGGACACCTCGATGTACATGCTAATGTACATCTAGCACGGTCCTTTTGTAAACGTTCATCAAAGAAAAAACAACGAAAAATGCGAAATTATGACCCATGTTATAGGATAAAAAAATAACAATACGTACAATGTTTCACTTTCATTAACAACATTGAAATATCAGGAAAATAGAAAGAGCATTGAAAGTCATTATTGACTTTCAACATTAGATTTCAAAGTCATTATCGACTGCAAAATGGAGATTGAAATAGAAAGCCATTGACTCGACCACTTTTGAACAAAAGACCATCCACCCTAGCTACAAGAGTCACGAGCACTAAGTCTATCCCATCTCGAATAATGCCCTCAAGACCAATTCTCCCATCCTAAGCCCCTTGAATCGAAGATTCATTGCATAATCGAGTTCTTAGAATAGGACTGGGGTTGAAAATCAGTTCTCGCTTGCGATGACGATGCATTCCCTATTTGTTTTTCAAAAAAAAATTATCTATCCTCTTCTTATTATAAAAATTCAAATAAATATATGTTAGGGATATTTTTTTTCCCCAAAATGGATAATAATGGTTGTACTTCATTCAGAAAATATAAAATAATCTATTTATTTATTGTTTAATAAATGAAAATTACACGCCATCTTCTTAATGGAAACCATGTTTTTCCAATAGTGACAATATTGAGAAATATGTTGGAAATATACAAATTAATTCGTGTAAAAATATTAAAAAACAGGAAAATTAATTAATAACAAAAAGTCAACAACAATTAAAATAGAAGAATTATAATATTTAACCTACAAGAATTATCATAAAAGTTGTCTTGAAGTCATATTGATTTTCTTTCATAAATATTCATCATAATTTCAAAATAAACCTTCAAAAATCTTATCGGTAAGATATAATAATTTTAATAAACCCAAAAAATGATGAAAGAATGGAAACGTGCAAAAGAAAACGAAAAGTAATGTCAAAAAATTTATGATAATATTTCAACTTTGTAATAGTCAAATTTATGTTCGATAATGGCATCATTATGTAAATATATTTCAAATGTAAATGAAAATCAGAAAATACCCATATATAGTTTTGAATTGTGAATTCCCCCATAGAATTAAAAACATTATTGAGTGTAGCATTGTTGAAAGAATGCCCGATTATAACACGGGTACAGTATCATCAACGCTGCACTCAATGATGTTTTTAAGTTCTCGTGTCTTCGCCCATGTTTGATTTCGACTTTGGGTTCTCCTACAATGCCTCGAAACTATCGTTGATATAGAATGATACTAGAATATAAAGTACAACCAATTGTATGAACATTGTACTATTGCTTTCTCAGTTTGGAGTCCAAGGTTGTTGTAGCTGTACTGGCTGGCGGTGCAGTACACTGTACAAGACATTTTCTATTGAAAGGAAAAATGAATAAACAAAAAGAATTCCCTGAATATTAAAACAGAATATTTTATTCTATGATTCCTATGAATTTCAGTCTATTTTTAGACGTAAAAAAAATAATCAAAACTTGGATTTTATGGGACTGGAAATGGGTTGAAATCTGAATTTCGGACATAATAATTCCAAACATTTAAATAAAGTGGTCTAATATGAAAATCGTTCATTTACGAAAAATGGTTTATTGACCACTTTAACAAAAAATAAATGTTAGGAAGATAGTGTTGTTCAAGGTGATAGTATTATTTGCTAATGTTTATGGATTTTATACGATGCTAAAATTAGGATGCTTATTTTCATCCCAATTGCATTCTTCTCATGGTTTCCATTTGGTTCAACATTCTAGATCGAACTTATTTTCAACAAGCATTTAGTCAAGGGAGGTGACTAATGTTGATGTGGCTACAGTTCAGTCAACGATGATTATTTTGAGACTCATTAGTCAAGGCATATGAGGTTTGTTCCATGACTTGAAGTTGGGTGGATTAGGAAAGAATTTTATTTATTTATTTTTTTCAACCTGAACCTCACACAATGTCAACCACCACCTCATTTACGTCACCTCTATCAGCCCATTTTTCCCATCCCCTAAACTTCATTTCCTCATAGCAAAAACCTTTAAAGAATTGAGAAGAAATAATAAAGATAAATAATGATTGTGATAGAGGTTCCATCACCTACAAAATGGATGGAGTCTGGTAGGTTAGAGGTTAGTTGTTGGGGTTTGGTGGTTGTGTGGATTGGAAAGATGAATATTTTTATCAATTGACGTATTTTTGAATGAAATTAGTTAGAGAATCAGAGATCATTCCAACACACATTTATGAAAGGTTTGAGGCCGTTGCTACACATATTTGAAAGATTTGGGACTCGTGTGCAAATTATCCTTTTTAATGAATAAAATATTAAAAGACCATTTATCTTTTTAAAATTGATCAAATTATGATCAAACGCTGTTTTCGATCAACTAAAATGAATATATATTATCCAGACTTCTTTCGATTGCACAAGTTTACAAGGTTTGATAAGTTTCTAAATAGGATTTTGTCATTTGTATACTCTTATATATATTATTGTTGACATTAAGGCTATAAGCAAAAATCGAAAAATCGGAAAATCAAATCGAAATCGCATTTTAGAAATCGTCGGTTTGGTGCCGTGTGAACCCGGTCAACGAAATGGTTTTGACCCAAACCAAACTGGTCAAAATAGTTTTGTTTAGATTTGAAATTTTTAATTGCGATTTAAAACCAAACCGGACTGGCGAAAAGATATATAAAAATGAAAAAATGAAATTTTTTGAAAATTCATCCAAATATGTAAAATTCAATAGTTTTGTCATTTGTGGATATTTTTGTCAATTTCTAACTTTCTAATACAGATATATTATTATTATTATTATTATTATTATTATTATTATTATTATTATTATTATTATTATTATTATCCAATAATCCTAATATATATCTAATAATTTCAAGACTGACATAATTTATCAAAAACCTTTTTCCTCTTCAAAATTTAGATGAACTCCAGTCGACATCCAACATGATTTTGAGCCACCGGCACCATACACTTCTTTTTCAGATTTTTCACGCCTCTTCAAAGTTAAATTGAAGTCCATTATACCAAATCGGAGATAAAGAGATTCTAGACTTTTGGTGATAATATTTGCTACAAATAAATTTTTAGATCAATAATTTTTTTAGAGCAAACTAATGTAAGAATCTGAAATTAAATGCGTTTCGTAACATTATACAAACGTAAACTTGTGTAATTGTTATGTTTAGATATTATAAACAATTGTTTTATTATTGTGGTTGGTTATTCTCTTTATTTAATCAATATCCTTTTTCAGATATAATGATCACGAGATCTTATTGGACATTATTATGTTTTTTGAGCCTTATATCTAGTTTAGTAGACTTGTATTGTAACGTTATTGTATCATCATTAACCTAAAAAAAGTGAAAAAAAACTATGTTTTAGTTTATTGTGATTTCACTTTGATTTAGTTGGTATTTAAATTTATAGTAGATATATTTAGCCTCTCTTTGAGCCATATTTTCCATATCATCATAATGAGAAAATTGACTATTGGATAGGAGGCTGGGTCTCACTCATGAAATAGCAAGTTAACAAAGGTAGCTGGACTTGTGGGATAACGGTCCAAATTTTCATTTTTTTTGTCCCAAAAATTTGGTTCAAATAGGGGCTTAGTTTGTTTTAGATTTATTACTAGTAAGATATAAATATATATTGAATTCAATGAATTAATGACATAAAAGTAGACGAGCAAAAAAATATATGGCGAAACCGAAGGTTTAAAATCGGACTAAACCGTTAGGTTTATGTTTGAGTTTTTTTCAAATCATTTTAAACGGTTTGACTCGAAAATATGTCAAAAATGGTAAAATCGGACCGCTTACACCCCTAGTTGACATTACCTTCGTTTTCAAAAAAAAAAATATAATAATAATAATAAAATATATATATATATATATATTGAAGGAAAAACTATTTTTATTTTGAAATTATCAAATGACAATTTGCCAAGTGACAAACTGTCTAACTTGTGTCAAGCATGATTGTTCGGAATAATCACGTTGAGTCAAGGTTTGCAACGGGCCTAATAAGTTATCTATTTGGAAAATGGAGTTGACCGGGGATAGCTGGCCAATGGCTGTGGAGTCCATTTGTTGGACTCTCTAGAAGTGTAGCCCACGGCTCGAGTCCAGTCAAGCATCAGTTAGTCCAGTCAAACGAGGAGGACAATCATAACATTTTCTTTGTGGGCCATAGCCCAAATGTTTTTGGGTCTTAAAACCCCTTTTTTAAATTCGAAAAAAAAAATTGATAAAGATTTAAATCAAAATCAATAATTAATTTCAATTGTATATTTTATTATATTCATGACTTTTATTAACTTTTCAATTGCAAATGTTATTAACCTTTATAAAAAGAAAGTTACTAAAAATTTAATTTTTAGCGAAATCAAACGAAGTGAAGTATAACCTTATTTTTAAAATTATTCATATCTACCACTTTTAATAAAACTTCAATGTATTGGGTAATATATTATAGCTTTTATTAGTTTTGTTATATTTTTATTGCACTCAAAGTCTTTAATATTTTTCATTGTACCACTTACATTCCTAACTTTTTCAATCCAGTTTACAAGTAGTGTTCGGTTAATTACATATTAATCAATATTCGA